GAAGAACAAGGCCTATGATGAAAAGAACACCTTGCCTACTGTGAAGCATGGTGGAGGGTCAATCATGCTTTGGGGCTGTTTTGCTTCTGCAGGTACAGGGAAGCTTCAGCGTGTGCAAGGTACCATGAATTCTCTTCAGTACCAGGAGATATTGGATGGAAACGTGATGCAGTCCGTCACACACCTGAGGCTTGGGAGACGTTGGACCTTTCAACAGGACAATGATCCCAAGCATACCTCCAAGTCCACTAGAGCATGGTTGCAGAGGAAAGGCTGGAACATTTTGGAGTGGCCATCGCAGTCACCAGACTTAAATCCGATTGAGAACCTCTGGTGGGACTTAAAGAAAGCAGTTGCAGTGCGCAAGCCTAAGAATGTGACTGAACTGGAGGCCTTTGCCCATGAAGAATGGGCGAAGATACCCGTAGATCGCTGCAAGACACTTGTGTCAAGCATGCTTCACGTTTAAAAGCTGTTATAACTGTAAAAGGATGCTGTACTAAGTACTAAGATTGAATGTCACTTGGGGGTTGAATAAAACTGATAATGCTGTGAGCACAGAAAAGACATTTGTGGTTATTTCATTATAACTGTTATGTATATTTGTCTGACCTACAAGTGCCTCTTTAATGTAAATGTAAGCAAGATGACTGAATGATCAAAAGCAATGTCAAACTGGCCAAAACACTCAATTTCAGTGGGGGTTGAATAATTTTGGACACAACTGTATATATATATATATATATATATATACACATGATTTGTGCTCCCGTGGTTTTCACGCCCCTCCCAGATGGCGTCAGATTGCCCATCAGTACACCAGTCATCACATTTAACCTCTTGACTGCCAGGAACACGCTCATACACAATAAACCTCCATTGCTAGTATAGTGTCTAAACAGATCAATATCTTTGATCAGATCAGCACTATACCAGCGTTCACATTAGTATAGCGTCCCCAAAAATGCAGCGTTAGCGGGATCAGCCCCGGCACCTGCCAACACCTGCATTTAGCCCCTATGCTTACCTTCTCCCCCAGCAAGTGCAGTGTCAGTGGGTCACTGTCACTTGATACATTGCACACAAAACCGCAGTGTTCGCAGAATCAGGCCTGATCTCTGTTAGCACTTTTCGGTATATTTTAAGGACTCTCATATGCAGCAGAGTGCCAGTACTAGTGCCGCGCTACCTTTTGGTGAACTGGCGAGCTCCAGCGGTCTAGTACATCTTGGTCTTTCACATATCTCTTAGATTGTAAGCTCCCAGGATCAGGGCCCTCCTAACCCTCTTGTATTGAACTGTATTGTTGCTGTATTGTCTCCCGTTATACTCTAAAGCGCTGAGCAAACTGTTGGCGCCATATAAATCCTGTATAATAATAATAATACCAGCACTGCAGTATGACTTGGTGACGTGGCGAGTCCCATAAGTCCAGTACAAGCCGGCGTGGTGGCGAGCACAAGTATTGTCCCGCAGCCACCAAGAATTCGCACACAGGCCCATAGAGCTCCTAGTATCCTTCCGAATGTGCTTGCAAATCCCTATTGACAGCCCACAAATTCTGCAGCACCTGTACTCCCCCCATTCACTGCCCAACCTGGAATTCAGGTGGAAATAGCAAATTTAACTGCTCCCCTTGATTTTTGGAGCTGTTTTTTATGGAATATCTGTATGTGTTGACTGTGGATCAAAGCAATTTATATGCACAATTTATCGGCACCAACCCAAATTCAAACTTTGCCAGACCAGTCGCATGGAAACTCATTACGGTTTCCAAATACACATTTTTCTTGGGCCTAACCCTCAACCTGCGCATTACTAAAAAAAAATTAATTGCGGTTGTATTGGTCCACAGACCCGATTCATCATATGCCGAGTTCTCTGCTGCCATGGCCAGGCATAGATATGAGAGTATAATGTGTTTTATGCATTTCAACGACAATACACTCTGTCATCCTCGGGGTAACCCTGAATTTGATCGGCTCCACAAAATTCAGCCCCTAATCACCTTAACCGAAAATTTGTAGATGCCTTGCATTCAAACAATTTTTCCCCAGCAAGCATGCCAGATATGGGGTCAAGATGTAGAAGACCTGTGAGAGGGCAACAGGCTATACTTATAAGTTTCAGATTTACGAGGGAAAAGATAGTCACGTGGAGCCTACCGGATGCCCAGACTACATGGGGAGCAGTGACAAGATAGTTTGGGACTTGGTGTCATCCTTTTTCCATATGGGGTACCACTTATACGTGGACAATTTTTATTCAAGCGTGCCACTATTTAGACATTTGTTCAATCTTGGAACTGGCGCATGTGGCAAAGTGTGACCTAATGTGTGCCCACCATTAGAAGTGGGTGGATGCAGGTGGTATATTCTAATGGTGGGCATACCACAAACTTTTTCTGGCAGAGATTTATTCTCTTTTTTTCATTCAGTCCACAGGCTGCATACAAAAAAAAAAGAACATAGTATATATACCCAACAAGGATCAGTGACATACTGGTACATCACTGGACTCTGAATGGTTATACCAGGATGATGCCTACAGCTGCAGGCATCATCCTGGTATCATTTTTTTCAGCCGGTGGTCGGCTTTCATATAAAAGCAATCCTAGTGGCTAATTAGCTGCAGTATTTCTTTTACAAGCAGCGGGAGATGATGACCCCCCTCCCCCGCTGCCTTCCACGGCCTTCTCGGGCAGTCCCGTGCCATCGGGGGAACCTGAGAATGCAGCCGGTGTTTTTGCCAGCTGATCATAGAGCTGATTGGAGCCCAGAGTGGTGCCAATCATCTCTATAGCCTAAGAAATCAGAAGCTACGAGCATTTCATAACTTCAGTTTCGCAGGATATAAACAGCGCCATTTGTGAATTGGGAAAGCATCTGATCATGCCGATTTTGGTTTGATTAGATAATCTAAGGGCAGAGGAGATATCTAGAGTCTGATAGACCCCAGATTTCTGAAAAAAGAATATATGCCCATTGAAGTTATAGGGAATATTTGCATTCCCTGTGATAGCATTAAAATTGATAAAAAAAAAAATGAAAGATACAGTGTAAAAAATAAAAAAAAAAAAATAAAAATAACTTAAAAAAAAAAAAAAACTCTCCCCTCCCATGCACGCACACCTGTGTGCACAAGCATTGACCTTGTGACGGTATGTAAACAGTGATTGCGCCATACATGTGAGGTATCACCGTGAAAGTCAGATCAAGGGCAGTTATTCTAACACTAGACCTCCTCTGTAAATCTAAAGGCTTTTAAAGCGTTGCCTATGGATATTAAAAATGTATGCAGTTTGTCGCCATTGCACGGGGCATGCGCAGTTTTAAAGCATGTCATGTTTGGTATCTATTTACTCAGCATACCATCATCTTTTATAATTTACCAAATAATTGGCCAATATATTGTGTTTTTGTGCATTAAAAGTAAAAAAAGTGAATTATTTTTTTTTTTTTAATTTGCTTTTGAAAAATCGCTGTGCGAGTACTATGTGCCATAAAAATTGTACTACACACCATTTTATTCACTAAGGTGTCTGCTTTAAAAAAATATATAATGTTTGGGGGTTTAAATTAATTTCCTAGCAAAAAATACTGATTTTTTTTCATGTGAACAAAAAGTGTCAGAAAAGGCTTGATCTTCAGGTGGTTAGAAGAGTAAGTGATGTGTGGCATAAACTTCTAATGCTGGGCATAAAATGCCCCCACCCCCCAAAACGACCCCTATTTGGAAAGTAGACACTCCAAGCTATTTGCTGAGAGGCATGTTGAATCAATAGAAGAATTTATTTTTTTACAATTTTTTGGAAAATATATTTTTTTACACAAAATTGTCACTTAAATGATTTATTGCTCACACATGCCGTGGGTATTATGTGGAATTAATCCCCTAAATACATTCTGCTACTTCTCCTGAGTATGGGGGTACCATGTGTGAGAGATGGTTTGGACAGTCTAGCCAAGTACAAGACCCCAAAATCCAATAAGCACCTTCAGGCTTTTAAAGGGCTTTATTTCCTCATTACACTTCCTGACTACCTATCACAGTTTCGGAGGCCCTGAAATGCCAGGATAGCACCTAACCCCCCCAAATGACCCCTTTTTGGAAAGTAGACACCCCAAGGAATTTGATAAGAAGCATGGTAAGTATTTTTGCAGATCTCATTTGTTGCCACAAGTTTTTGGAAAATGAAGAAAAAAAACAAAAACATATTTTTTCTATTTTTTTTATATTTCAAAACCTTGTGAGAAAAAATTAGATCTGCAAAATACTCACCATGCCTCTTTTTAAATTCCTTGGGGTGTTTACTTTCCAGAAAGGGGTCATTTGGGGTTTGGTGCTATCCTGGCATGTCTGGGCCTTCGAAACTGTGATAGGTATTGAGGAAGTGAAATGAGGAAGTTACGCACCTTCAGGCTTTCAAAGTGGTCATTGGATTTCAGGCTCCTGTATGTGGTTAGGCTCCAAAAAATCTCACACATGTGGTATCCCCATACTCAGTAGAAGTAGCAGAATGTATTTTGGGGTGTAATTCCACATATACCCATAGCCTGTGCGAGAAATAAATCATTTAAATTACAACTTTGGGTAAAAAAAAAATGTTTTTGTCATTTTCCAGAAACTTATGGAAAAAAAATAAATCTTCCATGGACTCAATATGCCTCTCAGCAGATAGCTTAGGGTGTCTACTTTCCAAAAAAAGGTCATTTGAGGCTGTTTGTACTATCCTGGTATTTTAGCACCTCAAGAAATGTGATGAGCAGTCAGAAAGTAAAAGCTGTGTAAATTCCATTATCTATACCATAGTTTGTAGACGCTATAACTTTCACACAAAGCAATAAATATACACTTACTGAGATTTTTTTAACCAAAAACATGTAGCAGAATACATTTAGGCCTAAATTTATGACGAACTTTTAGTTTTTTTTTGGATATTTTTATGACAGAAATGAGAAAAATATTGTTTTTTTCAAAACAATTTTTTTCTTCAAAAATGTTTTTGTTTATAGCGCCAAAAATAAAAAGTGCACAGGTGATCAAATACCACCAAAAGAAAGCTCTATTTATGTGAAAAAAGGACATAAATTTAATTTATGTACCGTATTGCATGACCGCGCAATTGTCCGTTAAACTAGCGCAGCACTATATAGCAAAAAAATGGCGTAAATTGCAGTATCTATACCATAGTTTGTAGACGCAATAACTTTCAAACAAAGCAATCAATATACACTTATTGGGATTTTTTTTACCAAAAACATGTAACAGAATACATTTTGGCCTCAATGTATAACTAACTTTGAGTTTACTATATATATTTTCTATAGCTGAAAGTAAAAAATATTGTTTTTCTTCAAAATTTTTGGTCTTTTTTTGTTTATAGCGTGAAAAATAAAAAGTGATCAAATACCACCGAAAGAAAGCTCTATTTTTGTGGAAAAAAAACGTAAATTTCGTTTGGGTACAGCATTGCATGACCGCGCAATTATCAGTTGAATTAGTGCAGTGCCGAGTAGCAAAAAGAGGCCTGGTCATTAAGGGGGGTAAATCCTCAGGAGTGAAAGTGGTTAAGATACATCAAAATGTATCATCATGTTTACATGCAATCAATATAATATACAGTATGGAGAGCTTATTCAGACATGTGCGGTGTGGATTGAAGTTCAGGTTTCACAGCTAATTGATACAGTAGTTGTTCAGCAGTCCATGACAGATTTACATCAGGTTCAGGATGGGATTAGTTTAGGATTTTATCCTGTTCACACATATGCGGTTTAGAAACAGTCAATAGCTTGAAATCTGTACCTGAACCTGAAGGCACTGCTCAGAAATTGTACATGACTCTTTTTCAAACCTTACTGAATCCACACCACCAGTGCACTGGACATGCACTATATTGCCAAAAGTATTGGGACCCCCCTCCAAATCATTGGATTCAGGTGTTCTAATCACCTCCATGGCCACAGGGGTATAAAAGCAAGCACCTAGGCATGCAGACTGCTTCTACAAACATTTTTGAAAGAATGGGTTGCTCTCAGGAACTCAGTGAATACAAGCGTGATAGGTTGTCTACTGTGCAATAAGTCCATCTGTGAAATTTCCTTGCTACTAAATATTTCATGGTCAACTGGTAGTGGTATTATAACAAAGTGGGAGCAACTGGGAACAACAGAAACTCAGCCATGGAGTGTTAGGTCACGTAAAATGACAGAGCAGGGTCAGCAAATGCTGAAGCACTCAGCGTGCAGAAGTTGCCAACTGTCTGCAGAGTCAATAGCTAAAGACCTCCAAACTTTGTGTGGCCTCAGATTACCACAAGAACAGTGTGTAGAGAGCTTCATGGAATGGGTTTCCATGGCCGAGCAGCTGCATCCAAACCTTACATCACCAAGTGCAATGCAAAGCATCGGATGCAGTGGTGTAAAGCACAATGCCACTGGACTGTAGAGCAGTGAAGATGTGTTCTCTGGAGTTATGAATCACGGTTCTCTGGCAATCCGAAGGATTTGTCTGGGTTTGGAGGTTGACAGGAGAACAGTACTTGCCTGACTGTATTGTACCAAGTATAAAGTTTGGTGGAGGGGGGATATTGGTGTGAGGTTGTTTTTCAGGGGTTGGGCTTGGCCCTTAGTTCCAGTGAAGGGAACTCTTAAGGCATCAGCATTCAAGACACTTTGGACAATTTCATGCTCCCAACTTTGTGGGAACAGTTTGGGGATGTTCCAACTTGACTGCGCACCAGTGCACAAAGCAAGGTCCATAAAGACATGGATGAGCGAGTTTGGGGTGGATGAACTTGACTGACCTGCACAGAGTCCTGACCTCAACCCAATAGAACACCTTTGGGATGAATTATAGCGGAGACTGTGAGCCAGGCCTTCTCATCCAACATCAGTGCCTGACCTCACAAATGCACTTCTGGAAGAATGGTCAAACATTCCCATAGACGCATTCCTAACCCTTGTGAACAGCCTTCCCAGAATAGTTGAAGCTGTTATAGCTGCAAAGGGTGGGCCAACTCAGTTTTGAACCCTACGGACTAAGACTTGGATACTATTAAAGTTCATGTGCGTGTAAAGGCAGGCGTCACAATACTTTTGGCAATATAGTGTATGTGAACAGGCACCATAGGAAGCAATGTTTTTTTACATGTCATGCGGATTGGATGCGGTTCAAACTGCATCCATTCTGCATATACCATATGTGAACTGCCATGGAGAAATGTTTTAGTTATCTTTAAGACATTTTCGTGATGTTTATTATTTTATTTTCTATCATTTCAGACAAGTGTTTTTAAGCAACTTCTTATTTTACATGGTTAGGTATGTTATCTCAGCTACCTTGGGACAGAATGATCCATCATTTCAGCCACTGAGACCTCGAGACAGAGTCACTAAATGCTCCTTGTCACTGAATGCTAGCAGAAAAAGCCCTAGGAGACTTACAGATCCGCATCCGCATTCTACTAAACATGCCCCAAAGGTTTTATTATCCTGCCAAGTTGTCATGTTTCATACCTCTTCTGATAAAGTTCTTTCTAATAATTGCAGAGTTGATCTCAACTCTTTCTTTCCTGTAAATGTATTCTCCTATTCTTTGAAAATTCAATTTCACTGCTTTGGAAGCTGATAAATGACCTAGTGAGTCATTTAGCTATTCCACATGACTTTTTTTTACCGATTCACGTTATCACTCACAACATATCACATCACATTTGTGATTAGATGAAAATAGAGAGGGGAGCAATTCCTGCAGAGAGCTATATGGAAGAGCATTAGCTGATGGACCACTGATATTAACGCAATATGGGACTGTATCCTAAGATTATACAGCTCAGTTCACATTTATCTCAGCCTCATTTCACAAATGCCATAGTAACAAACTACTAGTTAGTGAAACAATGCTAGCCAATCAGATATCAGATTACTGTTGTTGGATTAGTTAATAACTGTAATAACTGTATAATCACTTTAAAACATGTTTGTACTAAATTGAAGTGCAAATATTTTCCTGAATATCTCTAAAGGTGCCCATAGAAGGGCATTTCACAGAGTAAACAAAAGCCAAATGTGTTTCCCAGGCTCAGCTAGCTGAAATGATGGCATCAGTCTGCTGCAGGCAGGAGGAAACATTTTCACAGTCTCCTCTCCCTGTTAAACAATCTGTAACATTGCAACTTTGTAGCAAGTCACATGACTGTCTGTATTAGACAAACACAGCCAAGAACTGCATATGCATCAGGATTTACATGTTCTGGTTATTTCTGAGCCAGTAGATGCTGGCCCTTGGTAATGCCTGAGAAATGATGGCTCTGTGAGAATAATCCATACTTGCAGGTGTTACACATACACCTTACTTAGCATGCATGTACTTAACCACTTCCATACCGGGCACTTTTACCCCCTTCCTGCCCAGGCCAATTTTCAGCTGCTGCACTTTGAATGACAATTGGGCGGTCATGCAACATTGTACCCATATGACATTTTTATCATTTTTTTCACAAAAATGGAGCTTTCCTTTGGTGGCAATTAATCACCACTGGGTTTTTTATTTTTGCACTATAAATGAAAAAAGACCGAAAAAAAATTTTCAAAAAAAAGTTTTTTTTTGTTTCTATTATAAAATTTTGCAAATAAGTAATTTTTCTTCATAAATTTGCTACATAAGTTTGCTAAAAATAACCCAAATCAGTGTATATTATTCTGATGGCCTATTTCATTTCTTGAGGACCTAACATGCTAGGAAAGTACAAATAGCCGCCAAAAGACCCCTTTTTGAAAAATAGGCAGTCTATGGTATTTAGTAAAAGACATGGTGATTTTTTTGAAGTTGTACTTTTTTCCCACAATTCTTTGGAAAATGAAGAATTTTTTTTTTCACACATAATTGTCAAAATAAGTTATTTCTCACACCTGGCGTAGACATTCTTGCAAAACACATTCTGCTACTCCTGAATATTGTAATACCACATGTGTGAGACATTTCCACAGCCTGGCCACATACAGAGACGCAACATCCAAGTAGAACCTTCACGCGTTTTAGGAGCATAAGAGGGGCATAAATTACACATCTAATCTCCTGACTACCTAGCACAGTTTTGAAGCCCCTGGAGCACCAGGATGGTGGAAACACCCACAAAATGACCCCATTTTGGAAAGAAAACATCCCAAGGTATAATTTATCAGGCATAATAACTCTTTTGAACATGTTATTTTTTTCCAAAAGTTTTTAGAAAATGTGGAAAGAAAAATTTAAACTTTTTTTTTTTCACACAAATTTGTTAATTCATAAGATATTTCTAACACACAACATGTACATACCAAGAATTATGCCCCAAAATGCATTCTGCTACTCCTTCTGAGTATGGTGATACCACATAAGTAAGACTTTTCCACAGCCTGGCCACATACAGAGACCCAACATCCAAGTAGAACCTTCAAGCATTCTAGGAGCATAAAAGGGGCATAAATTATACATCCAATTTCCTGACTACCTATCACAGATTTGAAGGCCCTGGAGCACCAGGACGATGGAAACACCCATAGAATGACCCCATTTTGGAAAGAAAATATCCCAAGGTATGTTCTATCAGGCATAATGAGTCTTTTGAACATGTCATTTTTTTCCAAATGCTTTTAGAAAATGTAGAAAGAAAAATGAACAACAAATTGTTTCACACAAAGTTGTCAATTTATAAGATATTTCTAACACACAGCATGTACATACAAAGAATTATGCCCAAAAATACATTCTGCTACTCCTTCTGAGTATGGCAATACCACATGTTTGAGACTTTTCCACAGCTTGGCCATATACAGAGATCCAACATTCAAGTAGAACCTTCAAGCATTCTAGGAGCATAAAAGGGGCATAAATTACATCATCTAATTTCCTGACTACCTATCACAGTTTTGAAGGCCCTGGAGCACCAGGATGATGGAAACACCCACAGAATGACCCCATTTTGGAAAGCAAACATCCCAAGGTATATTCTATCAGGCAATATGAGTCTTTTGAACATGTCATTTTTTTCCACAGGTTTTTGGAATATGTGGAAAGAAAATTAAAAAGTATATTTTTACACAAAGTTGTCAATTTATAGGCTCTTATATACTCAAAAATACATTTTGCTACTCCTCCTGAACATGACAATACCACATGTGAGACTTTTTCCCAGCCTAGCTGAAGAAAGGATAAGCAAAGGATTACCTGTGGTGTTAGGAGAGCATTGGACCAGAAAGCAGGCAACAGCCACAGGAATCACCCAGGCAGCAGGCAGGAATATGGTGGATAAACAAGCCAGGGTCAGAACAGGCAGCAGGCTGAGATCCAGGCAGATGGCAGAAACATGGCCCATACAAATTCCTGGGTCAGTACAGGCAGCAGGCAGAGATATGGTCAGCACAGCCAAAGTATTGGTCCAGGCAGCAGGCAGGAGCATGGTCTGAAAAAGTATTGGGTCAGTACAGGTAGCAAAAGGAGATATGGTCAGAACAGCCAAAGTATTGACCAGGCAACAGGCAGGAACACGGTCCATAAAAAGTAGGCAGATACTGTATATGGTCAGCGCAGCCAAAGTATTAATCCAGGTAGCAGGCAGGAACATGGTCTGAAAAAGTCTTGGGTCAGTACAGGTAGCAAGAGGAGATATGGTCAGAA